TTAATTTTTATTAATTTGCACAATATTATATGTTTTGTACTCATAAAATAGAATTCTATATGACAAATCAATTAAAATGTAAACAAATTTAGAACAATATTATTTATTGCTTTACAAATTGCTTGCCTTATTGCATCTTTAAGGAACATATACAACTGTAAACTTTTTCAAAAGAAAAAAAAAACGTTACCGATATTATTGACATAATTCTTGCACACGCGCAAGAAATATTTTTCTTTTTTTACAATCCAATTTTTTTTTTAAGAATAAAAGAATGACAAAAATTCAAGGTCAATTCTGAAATTCCAAGAGTTTTCCAGGAATTTTCCAGGGCACATTAAATTCCATAATAATTCCAGGATTCAAGGACATTCAAAGATCGCTGGACACTCTCTTAATTTCTCTTAAAACGGTTAATGTTTAATATTTAATTTTACCTGCTCCAAGAATTTATCTCGATCCTTGATCGGCAGCAGGATCACTGCGAGAGTGGCAATCATATGATCAAGGTACGCGTCATTAAATGGCGAGGAACTCAATCCTAGGATTTTTGGCGGCACTGGAACTTGTACGAAGGACTTGGCCCAATTCATCACGCCGCCAGGACATCGCAGTATATGATTCAGTAGGAACAAATGATCCTGCCAGGTTGCAACCCTTAAGAGCACCGCCACCAGCTTTGACAACCACTCTCTGGTATCCGTAACGAATTTACCATCCTTGAGAACTCGACGTTGGAAGTTGAATAGGACAGTTATGCACATTCTGAGCTCGATCAGTTGCGGGGCTGTCTGAGATGGTAATTGCTCTGGTAAGAGATTTGCTGAGGCTGTTTGCGAAAGATTAGCAAACTCCTAAAAGTAGAAGAAAAAGATTTAAATAAATTTTGAGCTTTATGAAAAATCAATGTGAGGTATAGATGTAAGATTATTGAATCTCCATGCATGTGATGCATGGAGGAGAGAGAGAGAGAGAGAGAGAGAGAGAGAGAGAGAGAGAGGGAAGAAAAGAAAGCGAGGGAGGGAAAGGAAGGGTGGAGGGGGGGGGGAGAGAACTTGTAGTTTAATATTTTTTTAAATTGATTTAGCTCAAGAAATCTCAGAAATCTTCTTAACTTTAAATAAATTTTTAGACATCTGACATTCTGATTTAACTTCTTTCAATGGAAGACAACTCACGTTAAAACTCCTAGCGACTCTCTGTACGTAGTGCTCAATTTGCAGACGCAGAGACTCTGCCTCATAGCAGTACAACGCCTGGCTGTCGTGTAATGTATCTTTAATGGCGGACAGTGTCCTGGAAAGCGCTACTAGAGCTTGCTGATTGAAATGTGCGACCGAATATTCGTGAGTGGCAGTGACGGGATTGCCATCTTGGCACTCGCCATTCTCCGTCTCCGACGTCTTCTCCAAACACCAAAGTTGTTTTTGCGTCTCTCGGCAGCTCTTCTTCAAACGCTCCAACTCGTAGGAATTTGCAATCAAGTGATTTCGCACCCTGAGATAGCTCATCAGTAGCTCGTGCAGCCTGTGCTGCTGTCTCAGCGGCGCGCATCTCAATTGTGTTTCCGTAAACTCGGTCACAAAGGCATCTACTAAGGCCAACTCCTGATTGTGATATAAGGACGCCAGTTGATGTTCCGTAAATGGCCTGACATCTTTGAACACATTAGCCATTTCTTTTTTAACTTCCAAAACCTCTGTCTGCTTTGACAAGATCTTCTGACACGGAGCCTTTGTTACATCCTTGGTCTCCTGGACTGTTTGACTGAGTTCCCCTGAGATAGTCGATGATATGTCTATCAGCTGAATTGTGGAAACGTCTTCTTGCACCTGCTCCATTTGATCGTCCAAAGTGTTCTCAGAGACCAAGCAAGGTTGGACAGTGTCAACTTCATCATAAGAATCTTCCGCTAACAATAACTGAAAAATGTATATATTAATACTACATATAACTTCATCTCTCATTTCTTAGAAACATTTTCTACATACGTTAATAAATATAGAGTATTTCACTACTGATTCGAGTACCTTGTGTGATTCAACTTGCTGACTACATTTTTTCTCATAGGCTGCTCTCTCGGCAGCTTGTTTCTCATAAATTTCCGTATCAATAGCAGCCGAATGCAATTCACTTTCTATGTCTTCTACAGCTTCACCTTTTGGATAATTCGTGGGTGATTCCCCAAGCAGGCACTCAAACTCTTCTAGCGTAGGAGCATCCGGTATCCGGTGTGCCAGGGTCGAATGACGTGATTTATCCCGTTTCTTCTTCTAAGAGAAACAAAAATGTTAATAACTTTAAAGTTACATTATAATTCAATCTGAAGTATCATTATTAACTCTGTTTACTATTAAAAAATTTATTATTCAAGCAAATAAATATGTATAATATATATTAAATATATAACATAGAGATATATATAAATGATAAAAAATTAATACATGTATCACATAAATAAATGTAATACGTAATTAAAGTACAATAATTGTTACAATCTTACGTTATAATGAAAAAAAAAAGAAAGTAATACAAATAGCGTATTTGTTTTACCTGTCTCTGTTTCTCCATGACGCATAGACTGCCAAGTAACTGGATTTATCAATCAATATCAATCAACATATGTAGATCACTGAGTATTATCCGATAATCTTAGAAAACTTTGCAAAGGCTCTAAAGAAATTGTTTGCAACATGTTGAGGTGTGACAAAGGCAGCCAGATGCAGCGAAGAAAATTATAGCGTCTGGAGCGTTCGAGGTAATGTCAAACACATTTATCATCTTCGATATTGTCATTAGTTGTTTTAGTCATTTGCTGATAAGGCAGCAAGGCGTTATGACGTTTCTTCTTCTTCGCCTTTGGATTTCAGATTCTTTAATAGAATCTTAGTACATACCACGGTTTCAATGATGTTTTATGGAGTTTATGACGTTTATGTAGATTTCGATGATTTACAATATTTTGTGTCCGTCCAATACATGATGTATTTACATTATGGTCCAATATAGTCATAGATCCTTATATACTTAGATGTCTTTCGATTAAAAACATATGACCATCACTGGCCTAGTTTACACCGAGCATTTGATACGCGTACTAACTAGTAACTTTCTATTAAATTTTCTTAATTTCGACGATGCATATAAACTTATACATGATATATGCATTTAATTAATCATATTAATGCATAGTGTATCAGTTTAGTACATCATTCTTTAAATGCATTGTAGAAATTAAGATAATTTAATAGAAAGTTTCTGGTTAGTAGTGGGTGATACCCAACGACATATATAGGGTACGTTCCACTTAGCGCCCGCAACGCTCGCACACATCGACCGCAGTTTTCTTGTTCCACTAACTTATAAACGTCGCGGACTTTAACTGTAACGGAA